AAAAATAATGGTATTTTTTCAATTAAATTGCCACAAATTTTGTTTTTTTCTTGTTAATTTTGAAAACCAGAATTGTGCCGACCCATGTTCTGGTGTTGGCAATTTAATGAATTTAAAATTACAAAAAAGCGTCAAAGAAGTAGAAAAAAACACGTTTTGTGAGTGCGAAAACTTTGAGGAAAAATATTTTTTAAGCAGTTACCAAAATCAGTGATAATTTTGTTGTTGAATGCATCAATTTCACCGAAATTAAAAAAAACGGAAAGCAATAACAGTTTAAATACGTTGGACGTCAAATGTTGATTCTGAAAAATCAAAATAAACAAACGACTTGGTAGAAAATCCTGAGTATTTAGACACATCGTATGTTAGAATTGGTTTTGCAAAAAAATGTGACTCAAATAAAATTGCCGAGTACTGTGACTAAAATTGAAATGGCACCTTTTTAGAGATAATAAATTTGTATGATTTAACATTATTAGACATTTTAAAAGAGATTTGAAAACACAACTTTTTTACATTATAAAAATTTCTAATATTTATATTGGCAACAACACATATTATTTCTAGTAGGTTTTTGCACATTAAATACAAAATCCAAATTTTTTTGTTGTAGAATTTTCAAACTTTTTTTAAAAAAAATTTGAAGCAAACGTTGGCAAGAGTTCAGAGTCCATCTTAATCATGTTGGGTAATTTTATTACGTGGTACCTTGGTCTACGTCAACAAAAACAACAACTTTGTTAGGAAACGGTTGTAAAACGATGAATTGTACATTCCACAGTTATCTAGTTATGGTAAGTCGAGGAGTTCTGAAGAGCACTTTGAAAGGAGTGTTACATTGGGTGTGGCCCAACTAATTGCATAATAGAAAGTACAAATGTCGTGACTTTTCGTAAATTGATTTCACCACGACGATTCTTCTTTCACAAATCAGTAAGTTGAGTAACAACAATATTTACGAGGAGAGTAATTTTCGATAATAACAGAATTTTGCATATTAAAAATCTTATAAGGTAGAAGGAAAAAAATGCGCGTTTTTGATCTCCTGAAATTGTAATAATTGATCGTCGCCTAATTATAAATGTGTGTCTGTTCGCATCACCAATTTTTTAAAAAAGACATCCCAACAGTAATAACCGATGAATAGATCGAATACTTTTCAATGAAAAAAGAATGCCAAAAAGTGTATTTTGTGGTGTTGTAAAAATGAATATATTGAATAAAAATAAAATCAGTCGAATACATTGATTATTTAATAATTAATTATAATTAATAATTTATAAATATGGATTAAAAATTTAAAAAACAAAAAATACACTAACCCGGGAGTAGAACCCAGGATCGTTAGTTTGGAAGAAGAAACTGCTGCTTTTTAGAATTTTTAGTGCTTTTTATAATAATATGAATTCCATCTATATTGACTTTTCGACTAATATGTGTGTCAAATATTGATTCTTCTAGTTAATAAATTATTATAATTAAATTAATAAAATTAATTAAAACCACATCAGTGTAAATATGTAAAATTAAAAAAACTTATAAAATCCTGAATAAGTTTATTAATTAAATTAAACTAAAAACTTAAAATTATAAAATGGAACTTTCCGACTTTGTGAAACAGTTTGAAACAATTTACCCTCGTTCCCTAGCGGAGTCATGGGACAACACAGGTCTTCTTGTATCATGCAGTTCCAGAATAACAAACGTGTTGGTCTGTATTGACATTACACCTTCAGTACTTTCCGAAGCAATTTCTCAACACGTCGAGTTAATCATTTCCTACCACCCAACGTTATTCAAATCTTTCAAAAAAGTGACTCCATCAACTCGTAGCCAAGACTTGTTGATTCAACTTATTCAGAATCACATCAGTGTGTACTCCCCGCATTCCGCTCTCGACTCGGTCAATGGTGGAATCAATGATTGGCTTTCTTCTAGTTTACAAAGTCTTCCGTCCTTTCCATTAAAAGTACCACCACACACTCTTCCAATCACTCCTGGTAAATTCCAAGAGATTTCTATTGGCGCAGGCAGACTTCTAACATTCGACGACAAAATTTCTTTTGATGATCTCCTCGCTGTTTCAAAGAAGTTTTTGAACGCACCTTTGCGTTATGCAAAGCCCTCTCATTTCGATAAAGTCAAAACAGTGGCGATTTGTTGTGGCAGTGGTGGATCAATGTTTGAGAATGGTTGTGCGGATGTTGTGTTTACAGGAGAGATGGGCCACCATGAAGTTTTGGAACATTTGAATTTTGGGACTGCCGTTATATTATCAGAGCACACTGTAACGGAAAGGGGGTATTTGGATGTATGGGTACCTCGACTTAGTGAGTTATTCCCAATTCTTCACATAGAGAAGTCCAAGACTGATATGAGTCCGTTGCAGTACACTATCTAATCTATACTTTTTGGTAAATTTAATAGAATACAATAGATTATAAGAGATTAATAAAACAATAGTAAAATATATTAATAAGATTTCTATATTAATCAATAACAATCAATTCATCGCCTGTTCTATGACAAAGTCGGGACGCTTGATATTTATCCCTCTATCTTTGAATGATGAAGCAATGTCTTCAAGAGTCATTGTTGTGGGTTGTTTAATTGCAGCGTGCGAATGTAAATGACTCAGTCCGAAAGCTTGTGCATGTGTTAAAGCATCAAACACAAATTTCTCTGTAGCGAGTGCAACGGCTTTTGAGATTTGTTTGTCTTCGGTTTGAAAGCCAGAAAGAGACATATAGTAATTTACTATTTCGTGGGGGATCTAAACGGTAAGTTCATTTCAATCTATTCAAAAATCATATAATAAAGAAAAACAAACAACTGAGTACCAATTCTGACAGTTGTCATAAAATTTTTTGACCTCAGGAGTAAAAATCTCAATCTCAGACTCTTTTTGAGGTCTATTTGTTATCTATTTTTTCGTGATTGATGGATGAAAAAAGTGATACAAACTGCATCAAATTGTTTATTTAGTTCATTATAGTTTTTTCTTTCTTCTTGTTGTATCATAAATTGGTTATTTTTATTAGATTATATTATAATATTATAGTACTAAATTTATTATCTTTTTGTTTTTCATTATTTAATGTACTATATATTAAACTAAATAGTATTAACTTGTAGTCACTAATACAAATATAAACAAATTTTATAATAATATAAAATACCATTATATAAATAACATTTAACTATAATACAATTTAATTTTTTTTTCAACAGCAATACAACAATTCATAAATATTTGAACGTCTGGACAAAGTCAAGTTGTCAATTAATCAAATCACCAAAAAGAACTGTAAAGAGATCATATGAAAGCGCACTCCCGCTATATCAAAATCAGTTGTCCTCGTTCTGAAGGGATACAAACAAACACGCAACTTGAAACCTCTGCAAAAGGGATTGAGTCTGTTATAATGTATCGGCGTTACCTCACTCGCTTTAAACAACCTCTCACACAACCGGAGCTTGATGCTTTAGATGTGTTTGTTGAACCTTTTCGAACACAAGCAATTTCCGTGACCATTCCCACACAAGAAGAAGTCACTGAACTGAATGGCGAGAAACTCAATTGTACTGTTGTAGTCGTTCATTCGAAGTTTGAAAAGACGTTCGAGTGTGTTGATATATTAAATCGAATCGAATTGTACTGCACTACTAAAATTCTGTTTGGGTTTTGGAACGAAGACCTCGCCAAAAAGTTCGAAAAGAAATTCGCTGCTTCTTCAACATTTTGTTTGTGTGTTGGACATTTCCAGCATAAGTTCATCAGATATGCACCAAGAATTAATCCAGAAATAAACTTCCTTTAATCACTTCTTCTGTCTTTTTTATCGGTTTTCATTTACTTATTATTACTTTATTATTTGAATTAAATTCCTATATCTTGCACTTATGTCTAATTTATAACGGTATCTAATGGCCGTGAAAAAGACTGTTTTTTAAATAAAAAATAAATTAGAGTCCGTTAAAAATAAAACCAAAGAATACAAAACAAAGAATCTAGTCGACTGGATTATATGTAGAAAGCGATTGATCCTGTTCAATAGATTTTGGCTCCTTGTATTTATACACAATTTTGAAAAAATACGACGCAACTGCTGTAATCAAATAGAGTATAATAGTCAAACTGGTAGCAATCATTATATAATAATTTCCTTCTAAATCCTCATTACCCTTACTGCCTTCGTAGTTTTTAAACAAGAAATATGTGACAACATACACCACAAATTTGGACAATATAATCGCCGCATTGTACAACCCCACAGAGATACCAAAGAACTCCCCAGAAACCAAATTTTTTAATAACGCAAAAGGGACACTCAGCAACTGAGCGACGTTCAATCCAACAGGGACAACAAATACTGTTAAAAATATCATTGACATATTTACAAAGAGTTCTTTATTGATTTCTTCATAGAAAAACGAAATAACTAATGAAATGACAAAGGGGAGTGTCATTGTAACACTGGATATCCCATTTGTGATGAACATTGAATACCACGGATATGTTTGTCTCTTGAACATGTAGAAACAATATGTTAATTGAGACAACGCAATGACTAAATGTTGGAGTTCAAACATTGCTTTAGGGTTGATCCAATACTCTTCGTCATTACTTATACTGAAAATATGATATAATTCACTGTTGGAGTTCTCAAACGCCAAATTTGCAGTCCACCCCAAGAAGAGGATGATCCAGACTAATAAAGTGTATCTGTTTAACCCCGCACATGTATTGAAAACAGTCGTCATGAATTTAGAAAGTCGCTTATTCTCTATCGAAGTTTCTGAGAATGAATAACTTTCCGTCGCTGTAAAAAACGTTGTGAAACTCGAGACGGGGACCAGTATCAAATCAACCACAAACAAGATCAAAAGGGCAATACAATTTGCGGTGTATTGGCTGTCTGATTCAAATTCAGTTGCGACATTCACTAAGAAAAATGTGAAATGGGCAAGTGTTTTTGCAAGTGCCGAATGTGTAATAAACATAAGAGCACATGGGTGTTGATGTTCAATCGGAATAATATCCAAAACCAATGTTCTAGACACCACTTGAAGTGTATTGGAACCAATATAAAACACTGACAATCCAAACATCTGGAATGTTAGTAAAGTAATACCTTAATTTAAATAAGATAGTTATAGTATTCTATTCTATTAAGTTCTATTTAAAGTTGTTCTATAAAATGTTGTATATGTAATTATGTGTATATATAACATTTATAACATATGTGTATGCATATTAACAAACGCAAAACCAAAATTCCCAACAATCTTTGAGACCTTCATCGCTGTGACTGAACTGACTTGATTCTCTGTCATGGAAATAATATGAAATTCCACTGATGAGAACAAAAATAATACCAATAATCACTATAAAAGTACCTATAAACAAAAACGGACGTCTTTTCCCCCATGGCGTGTTGAGAAAATCACTCCATGCACCTACCACCAGTTGCACAATAACACCAATTGTCGGGCCTATAAACGTCTGAAAAATCATATATGTCGAGTAATTCATTTGAAAAACGACATTTGGAAGAATAATTTCATCTTTTTGTGAGTGGGTTTGAGTGGAGCGTTACATTTCTCTAATACGAACAAACACGAAAACTCGATGCCAAAGTTCGAGGCATTCAAAAGAAACAGAAGGAAAAGTAGTCGGAGGTATTCAGACATTTCCTATTTTCAGTTCAAATGGGTATTTCAGTTTTTGTATAGTTTCATTATTAATTTATAATTCTAGTTGTCGGTTAATAAACCCCATAATTGTTGATTGATAAAGGAGTGATATTTTATAACCATATCAAAATTATCTATTGCTCAGATTGCCACCGAGATGTATTAGATATAGATCGGCCAAATTAAATGTTTGGATGAGCAGAGTGAAGTTGACATTTATGGATAGGAAAACGGAATGAGGCAAATTGGATTTGACCTGCGCCGAGATGTCAAGATATTTTTATATTATTTTTATATTATTTTTATATTATTTTTATATTATTTTTATATTATTTTTATATTATTTTTATATTATTTTTATATTCTTATTATTTCAGAATGGAGTTGTGAAATGGTGAGTGTTTTAATTTGAATTAATTCGAATATCAATATGTTTTTATCGAACTAGAAGATATACAATAAATTATAGTAAAAATATTTAAATTAATACTACTAATCAAAAAAAGAAATTTATTAGTTAAGTTTATATATATAAACTATTTTAACCATCTCAAAGAGTTTTGTTTTCATGAAAAATTTCTATTAACCTTAGCAAGTCAACTGAATCAACTTTTTTTGTGGGAAGGTGAAATCTGGATAAGATTTATCTAGGTCATAATTTATTTTTAGAATAATTAAAAATAAATTCAAAACACGAAATCGATTAGTTTTCGCGCAAACTACTGGTCTTTACAGACCCATGTTTTCTATTTTCCATGTGTTCAAAATAGTCAACACTTGCTGTTACGAGACATACACATGAATTTTCATTAGAGCGTTTCGGAATTTATCAATTTTTCATTATTTAAATTGGTTTGTGACACGCAGTTCTTAATTTAAGATCTTTTTAGTTCAAATACAAAAATAAAAAAAAGTGACTTATTTTAAGTAAAAAAATCAAGGATATAAATTATCCAGTTTTCACTTCGTAAGGTTAATAACAATAATAGTAAAAATAGATATTTTAATAATACATTACCAAATGTCCAAAAAGTACTTTTTGCTACTTTCAAATGTCACCCCACTTTTCCCAAACGTCACACAAACATAGTCAAATATTTTTTTGATATTTCCTTCAGTTATAGATGATGTCACCGCAAATGTGATCGCCCCAATATCTTTCGCGAGTTTTCTCCCTTCCTCAAAACTCACCAACTTCTTTTTTTCCTCTACACTCACACTTTTGAATAAATCAACTTTTGTGGCAATTAATACTATTTTCGAACCGTTTCCAAATAACTCAGGCTTACACCATACCCTTTTGATGTTCTCAAATGACTCTCTAGAGTCGACGGCATAAAGTAAAAAGTAGTAGTCCACTTTGTGGTAATAATAACTGAACAAGTCGGTGTATTCTGCTGATAGTGCGCAATCTGTGATCTTCCATTGGTACATCTTTCCTGACACAAGGTGCTTTTTCTGACACTCACTTTGCTCGAAGACGTTTGTCAACAAGAGGGATGTGTCTCCTTTTAACATATCAAACTCGGAGAGACAAAGTGAGGTTTTCCCAACTTTGGAATCGCCAAGAACAGCAATAGAAATGACGGAGTCGAGAGGCCGCTTCATGAAGGTGACTAATTCACCAACACCTTTTGCCTTTTTTATTTTAGCGATTGTCTCTGACTTCACTGCAAAATGGACAATAATTTTGGTGTAAAAATGATCTTTAATCATATTTTGAAGATACTTCACTCCAAATTTTATATTTTTATATTCGTAAACGTGAAACGTTTCAACATTTGGGAAATAATACGCGGTCTTTGTGGTGACTTGTATTGGGTTATAATAAAAACGATCGTAAAAGTCCAAAAATTTCTTGGAAACTAAAACCAATTTGTTAAATTCTGAAAGGTCGTGAAAGTAATTCGCAACAGTAACCATGTGTGCACATGTCAACCTTTTATCACTCTTTTTCATTAAATTTGATATTATTAGTTTCAAAAAATATTTTAAAAATATAAAAAGTCTCAACTCATTTATCATGAAGTTTTATAATAAATATATTTTACATAATTCTCAAAAAATGGAGTTTAGAATGAATTGTTGTTATATAAAAATGTTGTTTTAAATCAGTTCAGAATATTGTTAAAAAAGTGTTTGTATTTTTAAAACAAAAAATATATTCTATTGTTTATGTTCATTTATTTTTCAAAATGTAAGAGTCATTTTTTATTACACAAGATGACAAAGTCTTCACATTACATAATTAGTCTTTACGATATACAGTTTCATACAAAAAATATAATTTATATTATACTTTGTACACATTATTTTTGACAAACAGAATCTAATTTATACCCAAGTATTGTATAAATTTATAAATTTGAAAAATAAAAAAATACAGAAGGCTGAAAAACCACTTGACCAAGAAAAAGAGGGATGACAAAATTTTAATTTTTAATATCCGTGTAATTTTTATTGGGATTTGAGAACCAACGTTAGGAGATTTAATTTACATTTTCAAATAAATAATTTGGTTTTTTACCACAAACATGGTGTTGCTATAAGTAGGAATGTGAGCGATAATTATAACGGTAATGCTTGATTTAAAAAACACGAAAATTGTTATGAAGAAGAGCATAAAAAGAATTATTATCCGATATAAAAGGCTGTTTTTTTTCATTTAGACATGATATCTCTAAAACTTGTTGATATTGTGTCTTTTCAGTTTATAACCGAATAATTGGAATTTAAAATATATTCAAAACTCCCTCCTAAAAAAGTGAAGTGAAAGACCAAACAAAGATAGAGAGAAAAATTATGAAAACCTTATAAAAAATAAAACGCAAAGCAACAAAGAAGTCACAAATTACAGAAAAAGATGCTTAAAAAGCCGAAATGTCCTTTGTTTTTTTGCCAAAGATTCATTATTATTCAAATTGGGAAGAGAGCACGTTGAGATGATTGTGTCCACTCTGTGAGATGAAATCTTTGTGACATTATAAACAATTGATGTGCTCTTCGAAATACACATAAAAGTCGTCTTGTTGAATAATTTTGCGCGTTTTCCAACATATTTTCAAATTCAGCAATAATTAAACGACTCTATGCTCCACCCAATGAAATGGAGACAGTTTCTAATTCTGATTTGAAAAGTGAGAAAAAGCGCTTTCTCTTTCGACACTTCGATGTTGATCAGTCATATCAACCAATCAGAATAGCAAATCGAGTTTTTGGGAAACTTGGGGCAACCAATTTCTATTCTGAAAACTTAAATTGCCTATATTTGTCAAAATTTCTACATATTATACCACACATATCACCAAGTCTACTGCAGTACTGTTGACGCGCTTCAACATGATCTCGAGTTTTTCACGTGAATAATTAGTGGTGAATTGGAGGATATCCAGAACTGAATTGTTCAAAAGACATTCCTTAATCAAGTTCTGTTCCATTTTTTGTTTTTGAAAAAAATAAAACGCTTTTTTAGTCTTTGTCAATCAATTTATAATTATAAAAATAGATTGAGTGGTAATTCCTGAAAAAAAATAAACACAAAACAACTAACAAATAATCGTTATTTGGGACTTTTGGCCAATCATCTTTCTGTCAATCAATTTATTTCTTGTCAAGTAATTATTTTGCTTCCTATATTTTTTATTAAAATAACATACAAAGATACACAAAACTCACTTAAATAACTAAAGACAAGAGAGACTCAATTAATTCTTTTCCAATCGCTATAATCGAGCTCCACAGGTTCCAAGGCTTGCGTCAAAAAATAGATGGTAATAATAGCACATATTTTTTTTAGGAAGGGTTTGTTCTGCATATAATTTTACTGTTATTGAAAAAATAAGATCATTTGGACCTTCGTTAGATGGATCTAGAACAACAGACTTTACCAATGTTTTGATGTGGCATACATTTGTCATCTTTTTTTTGCTTGGGGTCAAGACCTGCAATGATAACCATATTAAGGTTGTTGTCGGGGATGTGAGTTGGGTTGGTATTGGTTAATGAATACCTTCGTTTGGTAAAAAGTCTGAAACTTTTTGACAAATCGAGAAGCACCTTTTATATCAATGAAAAGTGGAAAACACTTTTAATATAACGGAAACCATTTCTCCACTTTGAAACGTCGCGATATTTATATATTGTGTTGCTGATTGATTGACTTCTTTTAATTGTTTTTTTTCATGTTTTCAATGGTGTGTGTCATTTGTTAATAATTCATTTTTCATGAAATCATTATTTTGCTATTAACTGAACATAAATCTTCTGTGATGTGTTCTAAAATGAATGAGAAAAAATAACCAGCTTTAAAGGTGTTACAACATGAAGATTAAAACCAAATAAACGGTTGTAAATGGTTGTCTATAACTAATATTTATGTTGTGTGTATCGTTTTTCATAAATATATAAATTGTTTTAAAATTTATTAAAAATGAAACTAACGAATTAAAATATAAAATAACTATATTAATATTATAATTTATAATTATTTATTTATATTTTTTTGTAAATAGAATAAATTATTTTTTCATAATTACAAAAAAAATATAACTAAATAATAATAATAAAACAATAATCAAATTATAACAATTTTCTCAAATAGAAACATTTTGAACTTAAAACTACCTTGAAATTCTGCTTCAGAACTGACCAAAGTTTGCCTCAAAATATATCCCATCTCCAATTATTTAAGTACAAATATTATTAATATAATAATAATAAATTATAGAATTATTATTTTAAAGAATTACAAAATATTTTATTGAATTGAAATAAATTGAACTACGAAACGATCTTTCAAATAAAACCAGATGAATTTTACAACATCCTTAAAAGGAAACCTTGAGTTTGTCTTTAAACACTCAAACCACAACATCCGCTTTTGTGGTGAAGTAGCTGATTTGCTCGATAAGCTTCGTTCTAGCCGCAAAGAGTACTGCAAGTCCATCACAAAGATCTCACAAGAGTTTCAAAAAAAATTGGAAGATGATGCTCTTTATGGCACCACCAAAGAAGCCGTCTGCCAACTTTTGACATCCGTCTTAGAAGAAGCTGATGGTCAAATGAAAACCGTTGAAGTTCTCACAAATTCCATTGAAGAATTCAAAAATAAGACCAAAGAAATCGAGAAAGCAGCTAAAGGTGTTCGTCAAGACGCGGAGACTCGAACGAAAGATGTGGAAAAGTGTAAAGACGCGACCAAAAAGGAAAAAGACAAATTTGTGAAATGTCACAAGGATGTGACTAGTATGTTGAGTGACATAGAAAAGTCCAAAACAGCCAACGCGCCAGAGAAAAAGATCAAAAGTTTGGAGGAGAAGCGCGATCACTTGAAAGAAAAAGAAGAAGAACAAAACAAAGTTTATGTGACTTCTGTGGAGACAACAAACAAAAGAATTAAACACTTCTTCGATGTCGACCAAATCGAAATCCTTGAATTGTACAACAAGTTTGAAGTTAACTATCTGGAACAAATGAAGGAGATATTAAAGAACTTCTCCGAGTCTCTCGCAAGCATCCCAGTCATAGTCAAAGAGTCTATGGAAAAGTACAACGATAAGGCCTCTCACATTAACTCTTCTGAAGATGTCGTCACGTTCTGTAAAATCCACAAGACTTCATGCAGAACACCAACATACGTTCCAGTCATCGACGCCGATGGACTCATTATCAAACAGGAAGGCGCACTCAATGAAAGAAGAAATGATGATCCAGAAGGTATGGAAAGAGTCTTCTTGACCTGCACTGTGGTGCACGACTTTATTGCAGAAGGCCCTGAGGAAATGAATGTTAAAAAGGGTGACACTATCATCGTGTCTGAAAAACATGAGAATGGGTGGTGGTATGCTACTAACAAAGAAAACGCTACAGTCGGGTTCGTGCCAGAAACCTTCGTAAAAGACGTCAACTGACCCTTTTGAATTCACTTTCTAGTTGGGTTTATTATAGTTTGGTATAATTAAATAAATGGTTATATTTTATAAGTTAGTTATAATTTATTTTATTAATAACTACAGTAATTTTTTTCGAAAAAAGAACTTTGAGGTTTTTGAATTTTTTTTTGTTCAAATTTTTTTTCTATTCAATAATTAGTGGTTCATTTGTACTATATTTCTAATATTATAAATGTGTTTTTTTAAATTTTAATAATAATATTTTTATAAAACAAATAATAAACTATATATATAATTAGATAAATATTAAAATAATACTATATAAATATGCATATTTAACTTTACTTTTACAAGACAATAATCGCAGAAAAAGAAGAAAAGAAGAAAAAAGAAAAAACCCTACAACTCGACTTTTTAATAGGCGACATGACTGTTACACCAATTCAGCTACTCGAGCAGTGTACCGAGAAGTATATTGATTACACCAAAGTTGCATCAACTCTTCAAATAAACACGATTTCCTCTGACCACCTTTCTCGTCTTGAAAAGTTGAGTGGAAAACCGTTACACCAATTTTTACGACGGGGATTTTATTATTCTGAAATTGATTTTGAAGAAGTTATTACTGCGTTGGAACAGAAAAAGCCCGTGTACGTCTTCCTTCAAAAATTACCAAGCAAAGAATTTTCACTATCAGACTACGTCGATTTTGCACTTGCTAAGTACTTACAAGAGACTTTTGGAGTGAAGGTTGTTGTGCAGTTATTGGACGACATCGTTGTTTTAAATCGCTCCGCGACGATCCAAGAAGTCGCGAAGTTAGTCACTGAAACGACCAAGAACGTTATTGCGTGTGGATTTGATGCGAAGAACACTTTAATCTTCAACGATTACAACTCCTTTGGGAAGATGTATCGAACCGTGACCACTATCGAAAAAGCGATGGCGTTTGATGTAGTTAAACCGTTTTATTCATTTGAGAATTCGGACAACATCGGTAAACTTTCGAGTCCAGCGATCATAGCGGCGGGCATGTTTTGTGGGCAATTTGAGGAGAAAATAGGGTCTGAGGCAACATGTGTAGTCATAGAAAATATCAAGAACGGGCAGTTCATTAAAATTGTGAGAGACATAGCCCAAGCAATTGGCGCACAAAAGCCTGCCGCCTTATTTAGGAAGAATGTGCCTTTATTAACTGGTGTAGCGAAGTTCGAAGAGTGTACCAAGATGAACGCCATATTGATGAATGACACTGAAAAGGAAGTCGAGAGGAAAATCAATAAAGTCGCCTTCTCGGGAGGAAGAGATACTATGGAGGAACATCGTAAGCTTGGTGGGCAGTGTGACATTGACATCCCATTCAATTACATCAACATATTCAGTGATGATGACACGCTTGTGAAAGACACATTCGACCAGTATTCCACAGGAAAGATGTTGTCCGGGGAGATCAAAAAAGTGGCAAGTGGTGTCATGAAAAAGGTCGTCTTGGATTTCGAAGCAAAGAAGAAGCCCGTGACAAACGCAGTCGTCAAAACCTTTTTCGAACAGATGAAATAATTTGTTGGACTTCACATTTCGTTGCTTTACCTTTATAATCTTAGAGTTTTTATTTGTTATTATTAATTCTATATTATTATCTATCTAATAGAATATTTTATCATTATATATTATTATTAATATATAACTAATAAATACTATTAATAAACTATAATACAAATTAATGAAACAAGTTGGAAAGTTTGAGTCTTGTCTGTATTTTGCCGAATTTGGTGCAACTGCCGATTTGAAATATATATAACACATGACCAAGCCATCAACAACTATTGTTCTATTGGAAATCCCTCCAGAGAAAGAAACTTTTGGCGAACAACAATTCTCAAACAGTCAGTGGACTGTGGTTCAAGTACCACAACAAGTCACTTCTTTAGGTACTTCGTGTTTTTTGAATTGCCAAAATCTACGTCAAATTATACTTCCTGATGGTCTTAAAGAGGTTGGCAAACTGTGCTTTTCTCTATGCACTTCTCTTGTTGATATCAAGCTACCAACAACCCTTGAACGTCTTGAAAGTGGAATGTTTGCTAACTGCTCTTCTCTCAAAGATGTTGATTTTTCATCTGTCAAATTTGTTGGCAAAGAGTGTTTTCTCTGTTGCAGTTCACTTTCAGCAGTGGACTTCTCAGAGAAACTAGTAACGCTCGACAAGTTGTGTTTCTCAAAGTGCATTTCTCTCAGAAGTGTTTCTTTCAAAGACGGGGTGAAGCACATTGGTCCACACGCATTTTCGGGGTGCACAAATTTGCACATCAACTTTCCAACGACCTTAAAATGCTTTGACAAGAACATATTGGTCGAACCGTCAAGTATTGCAGTTGATGGTGTTATTAAGATCACCGACAGTTCTGTTTTCTTTAAAAAGGAAAATGTGTTATATTCGGTACAAGTGAATTCGAATGGGAAACCATTTAAAGTGAATGGAAGTTTATTCACACCAAAAAACAAATCAATGAATTACGAAATAGGAAATTTAGTCGCAACAATTTCAAAATTTTGCTTTGAAAATGAGAAATGTATTACTTCACTGAAATTCAGTAAAAAATGCGTTTCGATTATGACGAGCGCTTTTCAGAACTGTTCGTCACTCAAAGAAGTGTGTATACCAATAGGAGTCACTTCTATAAAACGATTGGCATTCGCAAATTGTGTTAATCTCGAAAAAGTGACGTTGTCTGCTCAAGTATCAACACTCAACAAAGGGACATTTTCTTCTTGTCAGAAGTTGGAGAGTATAACTCTTCCTAATAGTGTGAGGAACATTAAAAGTGAATGTTTCAAAAATTGTTTTAACTTGAGAAACGTCATTTTGCCGGAAAGGCTTTTGTCTCTTGGAAACAGGTGTTTCGAAGGGTGTAATTTAACAGATGATTTTACAATACCAAATACTGTAAGAATTATTGGGAAAGGGTGTTTCAATTTTTGTGAAGATATTGCAGACCAATACTACACTTTTCCCGATACAACAGAAAAGAGATTAGGTGACATTTAAATTAAAAATAATTTAATATTTTAATTATATTAAATTAAAACTATAAATATTTATTTCTATTAATATTTCAAATTAATATTGTTATTATATTTATAATTCTAATTCACTTTTTTTATATTTATAATTATTAATTAATTTTACTATTATTTTTTAAATTGTTTTTTTAAGTATAGTTTATTATTAGTTGAATTATTAGAGTAAGTGCTTAATTATTACATAACTACAATCAATCTATAACAATAGTTATTTAATAAATACTTCAACAACACTTTTCAAACTTTTGGTTTTATCAACAATTTTAATTGAAGAAACTCCATCTAAACTAAACAAAAGAACAATGAAAATTGAGAATTACTCAGAAGGCACATTCGACAGCTTTGACATTACAATATCACTGGAACAAACTGTAGATGACGTCAAACATGAAATATCAATTTTCAAACACATTGAGAAAGAGGCGTTATGTATTGTTTACAACGGGGACGTGTTAACTGACGACGTTGTTTTGAGTACAAAAGGAATAACACTGTCTTCAAAACTTCGGTATTTTGTGTCGCACTGTAATTTACAAGTCGAGTCTATCTATCCCGTACAGGGATACACATCCGGCGGCACACGAGTAACCATCCAAGGAAACTTTCCCGGTTCACAAGAGAAGTACACTGTGCGATTTGGAGTGACAGATGTCGTTGGGCAGTACGTCGACGAGAAAACCGTTGTTGCATTTTCCCCGGCACACCCACCCGGTCCAGTGACGGTAACAATCAAAATAGGGGACAATGGCCGTTATGCACACTCTGACATTCTTTTCAGTTATTTTAATACCATTGTGCAATCGGATAACATTGAAGTTAAGTGTGTGGACAAGATCTCCGACAAAATGTATGCGGACAAGTTTGCTTCTGGAGGTGTATGTTAATTAGAGCTTGTCACTTTGTTGTGTAGGGTGTGCAACCGTTGACAAAATAATTGCTGTTTGCCCGTTTTTCAACACAAAATTATACTTTGCTTTAATTGTTTTATTTTTACAACTAATCGTGATCTACAAAATCTCAAGATCTGAGATATTATTTAAAAGATCTGCCATAACAACCAAAAAATCAAAGCTAAAAAAATGAACCAAAAAATAATATTATTTTTGTAATAATGCATTTTAGTTTTATAAATTACTTTTTTACTTTAAAACGTTAATGACAAAATTATTTAGCATTTTAATTAAAAAACCAATATTTGCGCTTTTTTACCACCACGAATAAATGATTATTTCAATGTTTTCAACAATTTCATATAATTGTTATATTGACTTTATATTATGACAACAACAATACTTTCCATTATTGTTGACATTTAAAAACAAAAGAAAACAAGCTAAAATACAAGTAAAAATCAGTATTTGGTATAACAGTACTTGTTAATCTACAACAAAATTACAAATTGAGTTAAAAAGACAATTAAATGACATTGTTTCTTAATTTTGTTTTAGAATATTATATATAAATATTTAGTTTTATCATTCACATTTTATTATAAGTTGTTTGACAATTATTTTGCATTTTTCATGATTATTATCATTTTTAATAAATGTTTTCAATGATATAAATAAACGTTTTATTGTTGAAGCGATAACCACCAAAACTTGTTTCATTTTATGTTTTATCTACATTATAATACAATATTATCGATAACAAATAAACAACACCAAATTTCTTTTCTTAATAATAATAATCAAAATTTTCTATAATTTTCTTGTTCCTTGTTTATTGTTTTTTTGGCTCATTGATAATTATATACACATTAATAACTTCAACAAAAAACAATGGTCTCTTGTGGCGGTAAGTTGTTGAAACATACAGAGATTGTTGTAACAATCTTTTTATAAACATTTCAACAATCAACCATTTTTGTTTTTATTATTTATTTTTATTACCACATACAAATTGATCTCTTTAAACGAAAACTTCTTGTTTTAACTGTTGTAGAGTCAGTCAAACAACGTTGTCCTTTCTCCAAACCTAATCTTTTTAGTTTTATATTTTTAGAATCAAAAACGATTTTATCAAAAATTTAAATCAAAGACAAATTCAACATTTTTTCACCACCAGTTTTCAACTATAATAAAAAATAGAGTTTCTTTTAGTAAATATTAATTTTAATTTTGTTAAAACAAAATTTTCTTTTGTTCTATTATTCCTCCTTTACTTGCGAAAATCAACTTAACTTAAAATGAAACTGTGATAATAAATAATAATATAAAATATATAAACGTATTTGAAAACTTGAAATAACAACTGAATACATCACCCATACCAACACTTGGATATTGGGACATATGGACATTGATTGGTTCGACTCCCATTAATTTTGAAAATGTTTTTCAACCAATTTATAATTTAGATGTCAAAGCCGAAACATTCCAGTAAATACAGGATTTGTATACCAAACTGAATATGCAATTGTATGCACATGTCAATAGAAGTATATTTAATTACAACAATCTACCAAATTACACCACCGCAGATATGGCAGAAACTTTGGAGTACTTCAAGTGTCAATGTAAAGTAATCGAAGAATTGCTTGAAGCATCACGTAAAGCGTATTGCAGTATGCTCGACATCAAAGAAATTAACACCCACATAGTTAATTGTTTAACAATCCTAAAGAGTTATGAACAGAAACATCATGGATTTAACCAACTGTATTATATATAAAAACAGTTGAGATGTCCACTCCCAGGGGAACGTGTTGTTTCGAATCAATACAAAATGTTGTTTCTCAAACACAACAAAGTCCTGAAATACATGTCAACAATGATGATGCTATTGATATCATTAACTCTGTAGAAAGAGTTGATGAAGTTGACGAAGACAAAAATGACCACACACGGGGACACGAAGAATCTTCATTATCAATGGAGGAAATTGACCCGTACTTTAACAGAGACATTCAGATTGAACCTTGTCTATCAGATGCCGAATTTGATTGTGATGAACTAATGGATTATCTTGAAAAGATCAACAGAGTAGACCTTTATGATTATGTGCTCGACACATTAACCAGATTTTTCAAACTTGGAAGAAACAAAGCCGCTCCGAATAGACGAATTCAGTTGTTTAGATGTAAAGAATACATGACAAAGAAATTAGGAATTAAAAGTGACGAATTATATTCAAGTTTGACAACAAATTTGTCAAAAGAAGTTTGGAAGAGACAAATTAAATTGGTAAAAGAGCAGCGAGGCAAGTCAGGTAGAGGGTCATTGTTTAGTGAGTTCGAATCGACATTGATTGTCGAGTTTGTTAAACAAAGAGAAAAGAGTAACGATCCTGCGACTTATAACGACATGATGTCGTTTATAATCAACGACCTCGATCGCGAAGACAATTTCTTTTGTTATCTTATTTTTTTCAATCGTACTAATTTGTCTTTTAATAAATACAAAATATCAAAAATGTTGTTTTTAATTATTATTTGTTTTTTATCTTCTTTTGAGACAAAAAAGTTTATTTACTTTTAATCGAATACTGTTCACACTTTTCAATATAAAGACAGATTTTAAAAATTTGCTCAATTTTATTAATAAAAAAATAAAATGACATATTTCACTATTTTTTACAATGAAAAAAAAGATTTCATAAAAATGAAAAATTACTCTCACGGTTGCGTACCCTATTTGTTGTGTGTCTCATTACTTTAATTTATGGTTACTTTTACTATTATATTAATTATTCTCTGTCATGAAACTTTATATTAAAAATAAACTAATAAATATAGTAAATATTGTGTCGATGGTGTTTCCATTTCTTAGGCTTAGTCAACGATGTGGTTCATCCAATTTGTTTGGTCCTCGATATCAAAGAACCTTGTCTCCAATATCCACTCCATCATTTTGACAAACTCTTCCATCTGTCCATTTTTGAAAACGAACAGACAAACTGCTTTGTCGAACTGGAATATGATGTTCTTCTTGTCCGTGTTGAATGATCTGATGTCCTTGATTTGAATAACTTTTTGCAAAAATGTTTTCCGTGTTTTGTCGAAGAGCAGGATTTTATCATTGAAGAGTTCGATCTCACATTGGCACTTCCGTTTCTCCTCTTTAAATTCGACAGAAGACGTCATCACGTGGAACCTCCCTTTCTGAACAAGAGCTTTGATTTTCCTCTCGAGCGACACTTCGACAAGTCTGTCGTGCATTTTTGCTCGTGTGTTGACTATTTTGCAAAACTGCAAGAAGTGGGAGAGTGCTTTTTGGAGCATCACAATGTCCGAATGGTCATGTGGAGTATTTTTTAAAAGAACGTCGACAAGCATTGGGTATCGCATTGCTCGTTGCACGGGTTGGATGAGCAATTGGTCTAAAGTGTCTGGGGCGATTCTTTTTTCGGACTCACCGATCACCGACTTTCCATTTGGTGTTTTGCGCAGCTCTTTCCAAGCCAAGACGATATTGTCGTACTCGGTGCAGTATGTCAGAAGAGGACTGATGATCGTCAAGATGGTGTTAATGACATCCCCAATGTTTGTGTCGTAGTGGTAATCATTTGCGACCATTTTCAGTTTTCGAACAACACTTTTTGAGGACGATATGCAATTATTAAGAATGGTATTATACTTCAAACTGTCATTTGTTTCCGTCTTGAGTGGTTCCGAGAACAACGAATTAATTGATTCCATTGTCTTTAAGAGGTTCTTTTCCGTCTCATAAAACTCCAAGAACGCATTTCGGCGTTTCATCAATAATGCACACTCATATTTTTGCCTTACAAGGAAGCCACGAATTGTATTTTGAAGTGTGACTATATTATCGTTATTATTCTTCTTATTGTTCTGGCTTTTCGAAAGTAAAAAAATTGGGCGTATTGGGGTCATATGTGTTATTTTGGAAGTTTTCAGTGGAAAAGAAGACTTAAGTCTTGGGGATTCCTCTTCTGGTAACTGCAGACAAAAAGTCGGGCTCATGCGGACTGAGTTGCGACATAACGATTTACGAAGTGACATTTGGGACTTTCCAGTTTTTCCTGGTTATTAAACATCGCTAGAGTAAAATATCAAACAGAAGTTGTTTATTTGTTGTTGAAAGTTGTATCAATGTATAATGGTCATATTTCGTTGGGATGTGTGGGATTTTGTACCCCTTTCTTTTTAAATATTTCCTTCATCAAAAACATAGAAAAACATGGTATTTCAGAGTTAATAAAAATACTATAAAATAATTAATACTATAGATTTTGTTTATACCATAATTGAAGGTATTTCTTCCGGTCTTATTTGGCTCTGAGGTAAAAACATTTTTTAGTTTTACCTTACTAATAGTATTATTTATTGTTTCAATATCATAAATAAAACAATTGATAATTGAGAAGCTCATATTGCTTTTGACCGTTTCCAATTTCGAAGAACACATCAACGAATTGAGGTTAAAAAAATTCACACCGATATGTATAATAAAATTAATAGTTAATCTATAGATTGTTTTATGGTTAAGTGATAAAAGTTAAAATTTTATAAAGTCAAGTTAACAAATTTATACAAGAAGTTCTATTTATAATAAAATCATTGTAATTCGTTTGTTTCTAAAAATGTTACTATTTGTATCTAACGTTTTTACCAAGTTGGCTAAAATGTTATTCATTCCAAGTAAAAATGTGCCAAAAATACTCTTAAACCAAATATTAATTGTTTGATTTCATTTTCACTTTTTTACAAAATAAAAAAATTAAAATTTTCGAAAAAACGAAAAATAAACATCATTCGAACTCAAAATATATCAAATATGAGATCTAGATACAAAAGTAGTTTAAGATTCGTTCCGAAGCTCCTTTTCTAGTCTGCTGTATTGACTGATTATTCGATTAAGCTCGTCTTCGTCTTGGTTTAAATCACTGACTACTTGACTAAGAGAGTCTGCAAAATAGTACATTTGTTTCTCAAAGTTTTCTTCTTCTTTTTGACTTTCTTCAGATATCAGGCTTGACATGGCTTTTTCAGATGAAATGATATTTACTTTTCGTCAAAACTAATTAATAAATTTAGTTTATTTTACTATTATCAAATTATTGTAAAAAATAATATGAAAAACGCCCCCCGGGGGGCTCGAACCCCCGACCTTACGGTTAAAAGCCGCACGCTCTACCGACTGAGCTAGGAAGGCACTTAATCTTTATTATAACAATGAAAATAGTATCAAATAATATTATTATATATTTATAAGAATAATTAATACAAATATATTATATATTATATCTAGTATTTTGTCTTATTTATATTATTAATTTTGTTATATATTATATAGATTATTGTCCACAATCTTTAAACCATAAAAGGTATGTCCCTCATTAAACAATACCAAAACAAACTGGTTGAGGCAGTTACAAACGATGGGAGGATTTTTATTGGTACATTGATCGGTTACGACAACCCCTCAAACATCGTCTTGCGCGAGTGTATCGAGCGTGTTTTTTCAAAATCTGGTGTTTCTGTCATTCCCTGTGGACTTCTAGTACTTCGTGGTGATGAGATGTTTGTTTTATAATCATTATAACAACTTATTGTAACAAATCATTGACATGTAGTATTCTAATTGGTGCTCTCGATGAACAGAAAGACTCCTCCGTTGATTGGCCTTCTGTGATTGCAAACCCTCTTGCTCATGCTTTGATTTGATTGTTGTGTGTGTTGTGTGGTGTTATTTGCTTGCAAAAATATTTAATACTTTATTAATAAATATTTTTATAAAAAAACTATACCTATCAGAACTATTACAATTTTAATAACAAACTATTTTTAGATGCTCCTTAGAAATCAAGAATCAATTAACAGCAACGAGAGAAAAACGACTTTTGTTGAACGTCAACTTTCTCCTCTGGGTGCTCTTGTTTCCCGTACATCTCAAGAATGTCAGTTTCAAGGCTCTCAAATAGTTCATCGATGCCTTTCCCCTCTTTGGCTGAAGTAGCAAATGTTTTGTATTGCTTGATCTTGTCAAAAGCATCTTTGTCATATCCATGCAAATCAGCTTTTGTTCCAACCGCATAAATAATTGGAGACTCTTTATAGTCTTCAAGAACTTTGTTGAGCAGGTGAAGTGACTACGTTTCAGTGTTTTCTATTT